AGCTCTAACCAGGAAAATATAAGATGTGCTATGTCACCATTGTTTCTTAGACTGAATAGTACTCCATGGTATACATATACCACATTTATTAATCCATTCTGGATTGATGGGCATTGGGCTGTTTCCACAGCCTTGCAATTATGAACTGTGCTGCTATTAAACATTCGAGTGCAGGTGTCTTTTTTGTAGAGTGTCATTGGATCATTTGGGTAGATGCCCAGCAATGGGATGCTGGATCAAATGGTGAATCACTTGTATCGCTTTAAGATATCTCCATATTGCTTTACACAGAGTTGTACTATTGCAGTCCCACAGCAGTGTAGGAGTGTTCTCTCTCTCCGCAACCATGCCAGCATTTATTGTTGAGATTTTTTGATAAAGGCCATTCTCACTGGGGTTAAGTGATATCTCACTGTGGTTTTGATTTGCATTTCCCTGATGATTAGAGATGTTGAGCATTTTTTCATATGTTGTTGTCCATTCTTCTGTCTTCTTTAGAAAAGTTTCTGTTCAAGTACTTTGCCCACTTTTAATGGGGTTATTTGATTTTTCTTCCTGGTTTTCGTGACTTCTAAGTATATTCTAGTTATCAGTCCTTATCGGATGCATAGGATGCAAAAATTTTTCCCGTTCTATAGGTTGTCTGTTTACTTTCATGACTATTTCTTTGGCTGTGCAGAAGCTTTGTAGTTTGATCATGTCCCATTTATTTATTTTTGTTGCTGCTGTGATTGCCTTTGGGGATTCTTCATAAACTCTTTGCCCAGGCCGATGTCTAGGGAGAGTGTTCCAACTTTTTCTCTAGAGTTCTAATAGTTTCATACCTTAGGTTTAAGTCTGTTATCCAGCGTGAGTTGGTTTTTGTGATAGGTGAAAGGTGTGGGTCCTCTTTCTATTTTTTTTTAGTAGACATGGGGTCTCGCTCTTGCTCAGGCTGGTCTCAACTCCTGAGCTCAAAAGATCCGCACGCCTTTTGACTCCCAAGTACTCTTTTCTTTTTGATTGCCTGAACATGCGATCCATACTATGTGGCTCTTATACTATTATTATTATATTTTTTTTTTTTGAGACAGAGTCTCGCTTCGTTGCCCAGGCTAGAGTGAGTGCCGTGGCATCAGCCTCGCTCACAGCAACTCAACTCCTGGGCTCGAGGTGATCCTTCTGCCTCAGCTCCCGGGTAGCTAGATACAGGCATGCGCCACCAGCCCGGCTAATTTTTTATATATATATCAGTTGGCAATTAATTTCTTTTTATTTATAGTAGAGACGGGGTCTTGTCTTGCTCAGGCTGGTTTTGAACTCCTGACCTTGAGCAATCCGCCGCCTCGGCCTCCCAAGAGCGTAGGATTACAGGCGTGAGCCACAGGCGCCGGCCTCTTATACTATTATGCATATGTCTTATCTTATTAAAACAAAAAACTTTATACCCTAAAACTCCCAGATCTGGCATAAATTCTGCTATTGTAGTAAGTACTGAAAAAAAAATTAAAAATTAGAAAAAATGAATATCTAAAATTAGTTTTCATTTTGCCTTTAAAAATTTAAGCCTCAGCCGGGTGCAGTGGCTCACACCTATAATCCTAGCACTCTGGGAGGCCGAGGTGGGCGGGTTGCTCAAAGTCAGGAGTTCGAAATCAGCCTGAGCAAGAGTGAGACTCCATTCTTACTAAAATAGAAACAGATTAATTGGCCAGCTAAAAATATATAGAAAAAAATTAGCCAGGCATGGTGGCACATGCCTGTAGTCCCAGCTACTTGGGAGGCTGAGGCAGAAGGATCGCGTGAGCCCAGGAATTAGGGTTGCTGTGAGCTAGGCTGACGCCACGGCACTCTAGCCAGGACAACAGAGTGAGACTCTGTCTCAAAAAAAAAAATTTAAGCCTCTTAAAGAAAAAAAATCTTTTGTACATATTTTCTCTAGTGTCCTTTTCTTGTTATACAGACTCAGTTTTATATTTAATCACTCAGTCAATAAACATTTACTGAGTAAGCAGTATGCTATGTTCTAGAGAGACAAAAGCAACAAAAGTATAGAAGACACAGTATCCAAGGAAAGCCCTGCTGAACAAATAACAAGCAATTTAAAAGCAACCTGAGAAAGGAATAAAAAACTTCTAGGAAAAAAACATTTCTTAAATGTATTAGTTATTATTAGCCTTAGTCATACCTGGTATTTATGATTTGTTGGTGAGGTTTTTAATGAGCGAATATTAACAGTGCTTCATTAAGAAGGAGTCAATCCTGAGTAGCCACTTCTCTGAGTCGAATACGTTGTTTACTACGTTCATAAACGTTTGTGCATTTCAACATTTGTTCCATATCTGTCCGACAAGTAACATATTCTTCTCAATATAAAGAACTAAGAATAGTTTGTTGCTTAGTTTAATACTGAATAAAATATAACCATACATTGTTCTTGAGCATCATTATATTCCTTAAGTGTAAAAAAAAAAACCCAGCACTAATAGGAAGAATACTCCACATTATCGTTAAAAATGGATTTAAGAATAATAGACTGAAATGCAATAGTGTTTAGGTAATTAATATATTTAAAATTCTAATTTAATATGCAAATGAAAGAAAAATAATTTAAATTTTCTTTTCTAAAGGATAACGCTTAGATCGAAACAAACTATACAGTTTACAAGAAGAACAAGGTGTGTCAAGACAGCTCTGGATCAATCTAGTAATCCATTTATTTACAGTTATCAAAATAATTTTCAAGGACAAGGAAACATTTGTGAAGCAACTCATCCATCGGTCAACAAGTTATTAATCTCTCTGGACTCAGTTTCTTCATCTGTAAAATGGAATAATAACAATACCTACTTCATAAAGTTTGTTGGAAGGATTAAGTAAGCTCATATATGAAAGTACTTTAGTACCTGACATACAGTAAGTGCTACTAAGGTTGCTTAACTATTAAATGTTATGAATTGCACATGGACCCTACCATAAGTCAAAGAGGACATGGAGATGTTATGACAAAGGGAGTATTCACTGAGAGATTTTTTTTATTCCTTTATTTATTTTTTTTTTTCCATTTTCAGTTGGCCAATTAACGGTTTTTTTTGTTTTTTTTTTATTTAGTAGAGACGGGGTCTGGGCTCTTGCTCAGGCTGGTCTTGAACTTCTGAGCTCCAACGATCCACCCGCCTCGGCCTCCCAGAGAGCTAGGATTACAGGCGTGAGCCACAGCGCCCGGCCCACTGAGATGATTTTTCAGATTACAATATAATTAGTTTTTTAATATGTAAACAAATGAACATGAAAATATATATAAAAATAAGTTGAACAATTTAAAATCAGAAACAGATATGAAAAAAATGTATAGTCACAGAATGGTTATGCTGCAAAAGTCAATATTCACAATATCCCACAATCAAAGATGCTTAAGAAATGTTTGTACCTTAAAAATGATTTCTCTTAGTCTGTCAGAGTACTTCTGATTTAAAAGCAAGGCATAAAGTATGTCAGCATTTCCTGGTTCAAACAGCAGTAGAAAAGCTGCCTCTAGTTGGGCTGGTAGTAGGAGACTGAAGAGTACATCCAATATTCCAAAGAGCTTTTAAAATTAAACAACACAAAACAATCACAAAATATTTAACTAAATCCTACATACCCTAATGTTTTAGCTTAACTGAACTATCTGATGTTTTCTGAATCAGCCCTGCTTTTTGTCTTACTCCATTTCCTTTTGTATACCTCCTCTTCACTGTCCATATTCACCTGTTGAAACCCTACCTGTTCTGCTTTGTCCATATGAAAATGCATCTCTTTCATAAAGCCTTTCCTGGTCTCCTCAACATGTAAAACCCTCCTATGAAAACTTCATAAGACTTTGTATCTCTCTTAAACATATTATTATACTCTACTTTGCTTCACAGTTATTTATAAACCTCATACTGACCCCTTCCCACATAAGGCTAAAGGTAAGAATAATAATTCATTCATCATTATGTTAGCTGCAACACTTAACATTATTCTTTGTATATAGCAAGTTCTCAACAACTAATGCTTTGACTGAATTGACCAAGACAATAACGCTGGCAATGAATCACACATGCAACTATCATGAAATAAGATGGCTATTCATCATTCTAAATAATGAGAAGCTTTTGAAGCAGTCCAACCTTACAGGAAAATTGCCTAAGTTAACTTATTACATAGTACCAGATATGAAGTCATGTAACCACTGAGTATGCAATGAATATTACATATGAGGGCAAAATATTTTAGTGGACATAAACTTGCACAAATTTGTGGTGCTGAGAGGGTTATACAGAAAGAGTGCTGAAACAGCAGTAAATATACTTGGGTTCTAGTTCCAGGTTTATCAGCTGTGACTTTTTAAATCACAGTGTCTCCCTGAATATAAATTTCCAAAAGTATAAATGAGAAGAGTAATTCTTGATCTGAATATTTTATATGAGTGGTTCTCAAATTTAACCGTGTATAACAGAATAACCTGGAAGTTGAATCAGTAGTATACTTGTATTTCTAACAAATTCCCAGGTAACAATGGTCAGGGACCATTCAATGAGAACCACTGCCTTAAAGGGTAGTTCTAAGGATTAAATGAGATAATGTATATAAAAGCATTTTAAAATTAGACACACATTTACAATTTACTCTTTATGCAACATTTTTATAAACCTATGTTATGCTAAAATTCATGTTAGAAATCTACCCAGTAGCTTTGATGATTAGGTAAATGTATATCATATAGACTATGAAACCAGACTTCAGAACGGCCAAAGCAACTATTTCCACATACTATATTTCCTAGCTAACTGAAATATTAAATTACATGGCCATCTATTTTATTAAACTTTCAGTTAGTTGACAAAATTTAATTCTTTAACTGCATGGTATTATGTGTGACACTGTACATATTTTACTCTTAAAATATTTAATTAAACAAAATGCAACTTTATAATAAGATGACATAGCAACTTCAATGTTAAAAAGGAAAAATAGATTTATCTCAGGTGTAATACCTGGTCTTCTTCATTAGTAGCAGCTATGTAACCCATAATACTTTGTATCTCTTCATGAGTTCCACCTTTGCACAGAAAATATTTAATTAGTCCATACAAAGAAGTCCTTATTGTTCGAATATCATCTAGAGATAGCTCATTATATTTACAACCACTCCTAAAAGAGAAAACAAAAGTGCATGAACTGAAACTTTTTACATTTTTTGTATTTCTTATATAAAAGAATTCATAATTTAAAAAAAGATCTTTCCATGTAATTATTGAAATTCATAGAACCTTTGGCTTCTTTTTCTTTTTAAGGAAAACCTTTTGAAGTTAAGAGTTTTAGTGATAAAAATTAAAGATATTAAAACAGCTTATGTTTATACAACACTCATTATGTAGCAGACACAGTTATAAGTGGCTTTATATTAACTCACTTAATTTAATCCTTAAAACAATCACAGAATGTCAGTTTTATTTATTTATTTATTTTTGAGACAGAGTCTTACTCTGTTGCCCAGGCTAGAGTGCCGTGGCATCAGCCTAGCTCACAGCAACCTCAATCTCCTGGGCTCAAGCCATCCCACTGCCTCAGCCTCCCGAGTAGTTAGGACTATAGGCATGCGCCACCATGCCTGACTAATTTTTTGTTTGTATATTTTTAGTTGGTCAATTAATTTCTTTCTATTTATAGTAGAGACGGGGTCTCGCTCAGGCTGGTTTCGAACTCCTGACCTCGAGCAATCCACCCACCTCGGCCTCCCAGAGCTCTAGGATTACAGGTGTAAGCCACCACACCTGGCTGTCATAGTTTTATTATCTACCCTTCACAAAGGCAGAAACTCAAGCACAGAGAAGTTGAGTAATTTGCCTATACCTGCACAATTAATGAAAGCAAGATTCAAACTCAATGTATGTGACCCCTTGTTCATTTTAACCTCTGCACTATACTGCCACTCTGAAGTTAAAAGATATTAGAATTGCTGGTAAAGAGAAAATCTACCAATCCAATCTGTAGGAGACAGAAAACAATATATCAAACAGAGAAGGAGCAAGGGCATCATACCCATAATAAATCCTAAGTGTATCTAGGAGAAACTGCACACCATACTTCTTTCGGAAGGCTCTCCTGCTGTCTTTAATGATGGTAGAAAGATACTGTATGTGACCTACAATAGAAAGTTCACTGGTAAATAATATGTCTAAAATAAAGTCACATAGGTAGTTATAAATTTCCAAAACAACTATAAAATTTTATTTAATAGCCTGTTCTCACCAATTCGAAAGGGAAAATCACCACGGTTCCAAATACGGAAATCAAAGAGTAAATATTGATACATTTGTTGCAAGAGCTGCATATTTTTCTCAAATGATACCTGTTCAATTAGTAATTGAACTGCCATCAATACACTAACATCCATCAAGGTGCTTGGCACCTGAAATCAAACAGAAGAAGGTTCTGTAAAGCTCACTTTAAATAACTGTCATTAAGCTATAATTTCAATCATTAATTCAAAACATTTACTAAATATAAAAATAGAAAAAGCTAGGTTAGAAAAATATAAGCAATTTAAACAGTAATTTTTCTGATTCAACACTAGAAAATATTTTCCTAATGTCATATTCCTGAAATAGTCTTATATTTCTCAAATATCACAAACATCAAAGCTAGCAAACGAGGTCATATATGTCAAAGATTACACAGTTATAGAAAGTAAGTAATCCTTATATGATTACATAAAAGTTTTTAAAAGTGCCTGTGAAACAAATTATATCCATTAATATAAATGAGGCTATACTACTGTTATCTTTAAAATTATATTTATTTATTAGGAAAGTAAGAACCCAACACTAGATGCTAATTATAATCATTAGCTACATCAACACAATCTTAGACTGGCTCACCTTCTGAAGTAAGGCACCAAGAATCACAACTCCATGGGAGTGAATAAGATTGTCCTGGTTGATAGGATGTCTCTGAATAAAATGTTTCACAATCAAGATGAATGTTGCAACTAGGTTTCTCTCTAGTCTTGACTCTGTGGAATCAGGAACATATCATTAATTATTCTAATTGTCATAATCACTTTCATATCACATTTTCTATACCATAATGCATATTGTAACAAAGTAGAAGTCTGGTTCAGCAGTTTGTTGCCAAGGCTTACTTATACAAAGCAATCAGAAAAAGCAGCAACTGCATATTTATATGTATACTTATGTATACTTTATATGTATTCATAAGTATACTTATGTATGTATATACATGTATGTACTTATATATGTATACTTATGTATACATATGTATACTTATAAGGGCATATAAATACTTTCTCTACCACAAATTTAACAATGTAGTCATATTTCCAGTAAGAGATAAACTAAGGATAGTAGAGAGTAAAAACAACATCTTTAGTTTTTTTAATGAAATTATAAACTTTCTGAACTATATTAGTAAAACCAGGGACAGCTGCTACAGCTACAAATGGGTTAAGTTTCTTCTTAATGGTGGCAGGATATTTTAATCAATTTTTCAATTAATTCTCAAATTTCTCAATGACAATTTTGTGTTATTAATAATTTCATCTTAATACCTGATGCCTTTGTGGAGGTCAATACCACACACTCTCCTTCCATAGGTGTTATCAATTCAGAAACTGTGCTTTCATTCATTTCTTCAGGAATCTGTCCTTCACTCAAGTGGCTGATTTGTTCCAATAAAGGAAAGAGTACATTTAATCCACCTATGCAGTTTATGATGTCCTAAAAAGAAAATTACAATTTTTTAATTTTATAAATTTACCATTTAATATCTACACAACATGTATGAAGTTATAATATAATTTGTTAAATAAACTTTCAAGCAAGATATAGGATAGCTAAAGGAACCTAAGCTAAAGGAACCATTGCATGGGAAGCATTGCATGCTTTAAAGAGCAGCTTCAGGGGGCACCATAATCAATATTCAAGACAGATCATGCCAGATCATTTTTATTTTATCTTTGTTTTCCAAAGTTTAGGGATTTTTGAACACAGGCAATCCCAACATAAGCTAATAAGTGGATCTTATAATGTAATTCTAACAATGGAAGAACAATTGTCTCTAGGCAATCAGACATAATATACAGGAGAATAAATCATAAAAAAATGCATTTGTTGGTAGAAATATGACCCACTCCTCTACTTTTAGTTCACAAAAAGGTGGAATAGGTGTTTCAGCCAAAGTTCAAAGTGCTAGATATTTTAAGTAGCTTAATAAAATATATTCTCTATCCTTTGATAAGTTACTAATATCTCTCTGGTCTCATTTTCTTCATCTGTAAATGGGGATAATGATAATATCTACTTCATAAAGTTGTTGCTAATATATAAAATGTGCTTATGCGTGATATTCAGTGAGTGTCATATAAGGTTTTCAATGGCCATGTGGACCAAGCTTAAGTCTGTAAACAACCTCTTCATATTCTTTGCCTATTTTGAAACCTAATTTTATTTTATATATATTTGAGGCTTATTAAATGATGTTATAGGATACATACAGATAGTAAAATGGTTACTATAGCAAAATAGATTAACGTATCTATCATCTCACATAGTACCTTTTTTGTAACAGGAGCTAAAATCTACTTATTTAACAAAACTCTCTAGTACAATACAATTTCATTTAATATAATCCTCATGTTTTCCACTAGACCTCTAGATTTATTCAGCTTACATATCTGCTACTTTCAGTTTTGTTTTGTTTTGTTTTGTTTTTGAGACAGAATCTCACTCTGTTGCCCTGGCTAAAATGTCCTGGCGTCAGCCTAGCTCACAGCAACCTCAAACTCCTGGGCTCAAGTGATCCCTCTTGCCTCAATCTTCTGAGTAGCTGGGACTACAGGAACACGCCACCATACCCAGCTAATTTTTTCTATATATTTTAGTTGGCCAATTAATTTTCTTTCTCGGGGTCTTGCTCTTACTCAGGCTGGTTTCGAACTCCTGATCTTGAGCGGATCCTCCAGCCTCTGACTCCCAGAGTGCTAGAATTATAGGTGTGAGCCACCACTCCCGGCCTGCTACTTTGTTTTGCCTGTTTTTCATACTGATTTTTAAGAGCTCCCTATAGAGTAAGTAAATTAACTTTTTGGATGGCAAATATTTTTTACCAGTAGTCATTTCATTTGTCTTTCATTTTGCTGCAGTTAAAAATATAAATAAATAAAGTTGTCTTTCTCTTGATAATTCTGTTCCCTTTTGATTTCCACATTAGGCAAAAGTCTAATTAGTTAGTCCACATGGCGGTAACTCAAGGCACTAAAGATGCTTTAGTTTTTATATTTTCAAGACTATATGGAATAAATAATTAGGGTTTCTATATTATAATACTACATAGAACTAGCTTTGTAAAACTAATCTTACAAGTGAAGCAAAAGTTAACTTATGAATTTGTCAATCATGTCATAAGTCTTACTGTTAACAGGTAAGTGTTCTTATCCCAAAATTAAAGAGAAAAATACTTTACACAACATGAATAACATGAGACCCATATTAATTAATGGATTCATTTCTATACAGGCAACATTATCCTAATGATTTCTGTTCCACTGAAACAATAAACATATTCGGCGTTAATTGACTAGAAACGTTTTTTGCTAACCAGCAAGACCCCTTATAACTATCTTTTATATTTCTTTTGCTTTTACTTAGGCTGTAACTTCTTTTTAAGATATCTTTCAAGGAAATATTACATTTAAGAAATAGAATATCTCTTTCACATCAGCCTAACTAACCTTTACTAATTTATAATCACTCAGTCAGCAATTATTGATTATATATCCCTATACCAGGCACTGGTGAAAAAAGTAGTGGCCCTTCCTTCAAAGTTCTTAAGGACTACTGGAGAGTGAGGTAAACAAGTGTTATTATTCACCATGATAAGTGAAATAATAAAGTGCTACAGATACCCATGACAAAAGCAGTTATTCAACTAGAGTAGTCTAATTGCTTATTCAAGTAAATTGGTACTAGCATAGTCACTTAACTTTGCAGTTGTTTATCCTTCATATTATATGTCTGCATAACATTTTAACTAAGACCTATTATTCACAACAATCTGATAGTACTTAAATGACAAAATCTTTAAAAGGATTAGTAAACTTATATAATATGTTGTCCAACATTTATTATTAATTTACCTTAATGTCCCAGTTTACTACTTTGTTTCCTGTTAATCTTCCATGCAAACAATTAGTAGACAAATCAAGACAGATTGAATTTTTGCAGGCCTAAGAATAGAAGAAAAGTTTGGCAAATAACTAAGTGTAATTAGAACATAACTTTAACCATGTATGGAACATTTCATCATAATTTTAAAAGGTATATAGAATAGTCAATGATAAGATAGATGCCCATCATATGAATTTTGGTATTAATGTTCCCTGTCTCCCTTTTTTGTTTTTTTGAGCATAGAGTGTCAAGCAATGTTTTCAGTGTCTTTTTTTTTTTTTTGAGACAGACACTCACTTTGTTGTGCAGGCTAGAGTGAGTGCCGTGGCGTCAGCCTAGCTCACAGCAACCTCAAACTCCTGGGCTCAAGCAATCCTTCTGCCTCAGCCTCCTGAGTAGCTGGGACTATAGGCAGGCGCCACTATGCCCAGCTACTTTTTTCTATATATATTAGTTGGCCAATTAATTTCTATTTATAGTAGAGACGTGGTCTTGCTCATGCTCAGGCTGGTTTCGAACTCCTGACCTCGAGCAATCCACCTGCCTCGGCCTCCCAGAGTGCTAGGATTACAGGCATGAGCCACCATGCCCGGCCTCAGTGTCTTAAAAGAAGGAATCAGGCACTAAATTCTAAAGCACTCACTCGTCACTATTGTTTGTCATTTGACAAATGGGCTATAGCTGAAATTTATTCACCAGTTAAAGAGTTTTACATTTTTTCTCTTTTAAACCAATATTTAGGCCGGGGGCGGTGGCTCACACCTGTAATCCTAGCACTCTGGGAGACCAAGGCGGGTGGATTGCTCGAGGTCAGGAGTTCGAAACCAGCCTGAGCCAGAAGTAGACCCCCGTCTCTACTATAAATAGAAAGAAATTAATTGGCCAACTAGTTATATTAGAAAAAATTACCGGGCATGGTGTTGCATGCTGTTAGTCCAGCTACTCGGGAGGCTGAGCAGAAGGATACGTGAGCCCAGGAGGATTGAGGTTGCTGTGAGCCAGGTGATGCAGCTCACTCTAGCTGGGCAACAAAAGTGAGACTCTGTCTCAAAAAGAAAAAAAAAAAAAAAAAAAATATGTACAAACAGATTTTTGGCTTTTAAAAAAAATTCAATGTTTTATTCCTATTAGTACCATGTTTCCTCAAAAATAAGACAGGGTCTTATATTTATTTTTCCTCAAGAAGACACCCTACGGCTTATTTTCAGGGGATGTGTTATTCTTTTTAAGCACAACAATCTACATTTATTCAAATATAGTTAAGTCGTCGTCTTCTAGAACATCATCATAACTTTCCAAACCCCGAATTCCATCCTGAATTTCTTGCGACTCTATTTCCTTTAGAACTATTGGCCCCAAACTCTCATGGCAAGCAATAGCGCTCTCATGGGGCAGACGAGAAGGGCTGCTCATCTTCTTTACTGCTCTATGACGAAATTCATGGGTTGTGCAGATAGCTGCGTAGCCACGCCCACCACTAGGTCTTATTTTTGGGGTAGGACTTATATTGCGCAAATGTTTAGAAATCCTGCTTATTTTATGGGTAGGTCTTATTTTCGGGGAAACACGGTACTTCCCTAGGCATGCTACTTCCCATGGTACTTCCACAATTTTATGATACACAAAAATATGTGATTAGGCCGGGCGCGGTGATATGATCTGATCATAACTCACTGTAACCTTGAATTCCTAGGCTCAAGGGATCCTTGCACCTCAGCTTCCCAAGTAAGGACTATAGGTGTTTGCCACTATGACTTGCTAATTTTTCAATTTTTTTGTAGAGATGGGGTCTCCCTATGTTGCCCAGGCTAGTCTCAAACCCTGGCCTCAATCCTCCTGAAGTGTTGGGATTACAGGTGTGGCCACTATACCTGGCCTACTTCTTTCTCCCTTTTTTTCCTCCCAATTCTACCTTTTATTTTCTTTCCCTCAGGCCTTGCTGACCACAATTACTTATACTAGATAAATCCTTGAAGGAAAAAGGACTGGGCATGGTATGCACATAGGTAGTTACTTTTTACTCCTTTGGAAGCAAACTCTTTTTTTTAATTTCTCCCTCCTTTTTTTTTTTTTTTGCTATATCACATGTAAAAAACAAACAAAAGGCTGAGCACAATTCTGTTTTATCTCTCAATAAACTCAGAAAATACAAGGACAGTTTCATTTACTGAAGTCATTAGTACAAATTCCAACTACAACTATTCCTATTCATACTACTGAGATGACATACTGCTAGTAACATTTAAACCCTAGTTGAGAAGGTACATCTTAATTTTTACTGCTTCTCATCTTCCTTTGAAAATTCGTAATTTTTAAAACGGCAATTCAAGCTCCTCCTTTCAATTACTCACTAAAGTGGCAAAAGAAATAGAAAAGGAGCTCTAGTTCATAGCATAGTTATAACAACATAGACAGTCCATGAATTTACTCTGACCTTTGCAGTATAGTGAAGAAGGACATTACAAGGCAGGTCAGCCACATCAGATTCTTGGTATTTCCAAGGGCTTAAACAATTTGGACCTGCAAAATTATTTATACACATATACATACATCATTGAATATATATTGTCTCTTTGGTTTTGTGTTATCAGAACAAAATTTAAAACTAAGCTGTTTCAAGCTATTCAAACAACACAGTTAAAAAAACATTAGCTAAAATGTACTTTAGTTTTTATATTACCTCTAATTATATCAAAAACCTATAAAAGTTGGGGAGTGGATCAAGCTCCACGCTAGAAAAGAAATTTTATATAGCATTAAAAACTATTATCAAATATAGCAAAAGCTATTAGTTTAATGTAAACCAATGCAAATATATAAGACAAAAGAGCAAAACATTAAATCAAAATGTCATTAGACATCACAGAAATAGAATAGCAAATGAGTAAGAAAAAATTGTCAACTACTAAAAAAATCAAAGAAATACAAATTAAAACAAGGCTCTATTTTACATCTAATTAGAGAAAACAGTATTGATGACCATTCCATATTATTGAGGCTATGGAGAAACTTAAGTGTTATTGGCAGGCATCGTGAATTGGTAGATTCCTTTCTGGAAACTGATTAGGCAAATATTGAGAGCCATAAAAATAGTCACACACTTTAAATATTTATCCTGGGAATCGTCATTAAATACATCAAAATAAAAACAACTATAAATATATCATACCTAAGATTTGAAGTTTATATCAATATTAAAAATTATAAATGACCTAAGTAAATTATACATTATGAATCCAAGGAAATATTATGTAGCCACTAAAAACAATTATTTATGAAAACTATATAATAATTATTATTTAAAAGTAAAATAATGAGTAGGAAAAATTGTAAGAACAAAATCTAAACTAGAAACCTATAATGACTATACTAAATGATTTATTATTAACTTGGAATTTATTTACATTATAGATCACCTCCAAATATTTGAGTGAGTTTCAAAGTAATAATAAGGTTCTAATAGAACCTTTGAAAATCTAGACAGTCCCATTCTCTCAAAATTCCCATGCAATCTAAGAGACATTTTGACAAAAATAAGCTATTCTGCTGAGTTAATGTACATTACTCTTAAAGGCTTAACTTCTGAACATACTGCTAGAATATAATTTTGAAAGTAATTAGGATCCAATAATAACCATTGGTATGTATGTTTAAAATCATAGCCAAAAAAAAAAAAGAAAGAAAAAGCCAAAACAACATGAAAAAAACCAGTTGTAAACTTATCAAAGGTCTCCTAATTCTACTGCCTTCATAGATTCTTCACATATATTAATAGATCAATTGTAAAAATGGTAAGTTTTGGAATAAGACTCATGATTTTAGAATCAGTTACATAATTTCTTATGGAGATAGGCATATATTTTGTTTCAATTCATTAAAATCTGTCAAAAGTACTGGCACTGTTATGGACCAAACTGCTTTCCCCTAAAATTCTTATGTTAAAGCCATAACCCCCAATGTGACCATATTTGGAAATAAGGCTTTTAAGGGTATAATTAAGGTTAAATGAAGTCATAAGGGTGGGGCCATAATCTGATAGGGCCCTTTATAAGAAAAAAAGAGATATCGGAGATCTCTTTCTCTGTTCATGTGCACACAGAGAAAAGACTATGTGAGGATACAGCAAGAAGGCAGTGACCTGTAAGTCAGAAACAGAAACCTCACTAGAAATCAATCCTGATGGCACCTTGACCTTGAACTTCTAGCTTCCAGACTGTGACAAAATAAACTGCTGTTGTTAAAGCTACCCAGTCTGTGGTATTTTGTTATGGCAGTCATAGCAGACTAATAGAGGCAGTATTATGGATGATTTTTAAAGTATTTTCTGAAGGTTTGGTATATTTATGTTGACCAAAAAAAGTATGATATGTGGTAGGCTTTTTCTTCTCTTTCAGCTTCAATTAGAACAAATACAATCTTTAGATCAAATATATTCTTCAGAATACATTTAGACAACAGAAAAAAACTCTAAATTTAATTAAGCATTATGGCTGTACATGCTCACCTGCTAAATATAATGCCTTTACCAGAGAAGGCTGTAGTGCTTCATAGAAGATGATAACAGACCCTAGCTGACCCTCCAGAGACGTGGGACATCCCCATTCACTGTCTTGGGTTCCAGCTGATATCAATTTGGTAATCAATTTTGATTTTTCAGTTGTTCCTCCCCAGGAGGCTGATGAAAGAATTCCTCCAAATGATGTCCGATGAGGGGTAATGGGAGAAGAAAAAGGTGGATCTGGGATTTGGGATGGTGGAGGAGTGGTGGTTCTTTGTCCAGCTGAACCAATACAACATGAAGTAAAAGGCTAAAAATTAAGAAACAAAAAAAATTATATAATTTTAATTAAATATCTATCCTCATATTTAAAACTAAATAGTACATAAAATTACAAAAATAAATAAATTGAAAATAAAAGTGGAAGTAGTTTTATTTTTACTGGATCATGTGTACATGCATATGTATATATAAGAAATCATTAGCAAAGTTACCTTTGACCTACAGAATTTGGATGCATTACTTTTATGACCCACTTTACATCCTTTTGCAAATTTTGAATTTTTAAAGAGTGTACAATATAAACCCTTTTTAACTTTACTGTTTTCTAAAATCAAGAAAACTACTTTTCTTCCTTAAAATTTATAAACAGAGGCCAGGTGTGGTGGCTCACGCCTGTAATCCTAGCACTCTAAGAGGCCCGAGACGGGAGGATTGCTCAAGGTCAGGAGTTTGAAACCAACTTGAGCAAGAGCAAGACCCTGTCTCTACTAAAAATAGAAACAAATTAATTGGCCAACTACAAATATATAGAAAAAATTAGCCAGGCATGGTGGTACATGCCTGTAGTCGCAGCTACTTGGGAGGCTGAGGCAGAAGGATCGCTTGAGCCCAAGAGTTTAAGGTTGCTATGACCTAGGCTGACGCCATGGCACGCTAGCCCAGGCAACAGAGTGAGACTCTGTTTCAAAAAAAATAAAAATAAAAATATTTATAAACAGAGAAATACACATGAGTATTAACATCAATTACAGGCTATCTTAGAATGGTCACTGAAATGAAAAGCCAGAAGAAATGACTTGAATCCTACGACTTAATAATCTACTCCATTCCATTACCTTCAGAAAAGGCTCTCTCAAAATTATCCCTAAATTCTCAATGAACTTTTTACACTAGTGTTCTTTGAGAACCACCTCAGTAAATAAACTTTATTTTATACCTAACTGCAACATGAAAGTTTTAAGTTTCTTCATTGTTTCAATTTTAATGGAGATGGAAAAGAGTTCATCATAATATTCTCTTAAGTATTTCATATATTTGGAGAGCTTTATTAAAGGACACCTTGGTCTGTTGTATTCATTTCTTTGGCTTTCCTGTTGTCTCTTTTTCTAAGACTTTAATTACATTTGTTTCTTCCTTGAATTGTTTTCCTTTATTCTCATTGTTTGACTCCATCTAATAATGATAGGCTAACAGAACTGAATAGTAACAATGTGTCTTAGAAGCTAGAAAACACTTAAAATTCTGGGGCACATATTTAGAATAAATAGAACCTTCTACATTAACTGAAAATTTTCAAGAGTTCTCAATCATATCTGTTAAGAGTAAGTCAGATATGCTTACTTCATTCATGGCAGGAAATCTGAGAGGTGCAGACACCTTCTGTTGTCCATTGTCATAGATATAGACAAGGCTCTGACCAAAGGGCCTTTTTCCAGGCATGTGAACAATGGTTATGTTGTGCTGGCGAAGTAAAACACACATTTAAAAGACTAAAATTACATTATGTCTTTGAAATGAAAAATGCTTTCAGAATGTTATTCTGTAACTAGTTTTGTGTGAACAGTTGAACATTAAGCATAAATGCTGACTAAAATGTTTTCAAAGTGAATAACAATTTTCTCTATAGTACTACAAAAGCACTTAATCCTATTCTAGAAAATATCAGATTGTAACATAGTATCTTTTCTATATTTCTAAGGCTGTAAGTATTATTTAGAATCAGTTTATCTAATGAGAAGCATGTATTTTTAGCAAAGCGATAGAAATGCATTGTTTTTTAACAATCTATCTTCTCATTTAAAAGTGAAATTCAAAGTCAAACTTGCTTCTAGAAAATCAAGAAATCATAATGTTCATTTTAATTTTTTTTAGCAGAAAAATTATTACTCCTGATTTGATGATGATGATGATGGTAAATAGTATTAACCATATTAATAGTTAAATGTGATGCTCTAAAGCCTTACCCAGAGGGAATCACAGAAACTGTAGTCAGGAAGCATAACTGTTGCATATTCTCTTTTTGTGCACACTGCTACAACCAACATACCTGAATGGGTAATAAAAGCTTCAAAACCCATGCCACTTCCTGTAAAAAAGCTAACAAAAATATGTATTATCAGAACACTTGAAGCCACCTGTTTAGTTTCATCATCACTGAAGCATACAAAATAATAAAGCCATCATGAACATCTTTATCAACAATGCTATGGTTTACATTCTGTTGTCACACATCAATGCAATGTTGTTTCAAAGATATTTTTAAAATCCTTTTTGGGCATAAGAGTTTAGTAAATTATAAAAGGTAGCCTTATAAGTGGAATTTCACTAGCAAAAATAAAACCATAAATTTTCAAATTTTCAAAATTCTTCCACATAAGATTCAGAAAGCCTAAATGAAAGTCTTAAAAATCACAAGACATATTAAAAATTGCCGGGGTATGTCCTGTGATTCATAAACAGGAAAAAGTTTTTCCAAGCATCTAGTGTTTTTTTTTTAAGGGGTGGAGTGAAGACAGGGCTCCAATTTCTTTTTTTTTTTTTTTTCTGAGACAGAGTCTGACTCTGTCACCCTGGGTAGAATGCAGTGGTTTCATGGTAGCTCACTTCAACCTTAAACTCCTGGGCTCAAGTGATACTCCTCCCTCAGCTTCCCAAGTAGCTGGGACTATAGAGAGATGCCATAACACCTGGCTAATTTTTCTATTTTTGGTAAGAATGTGGTCTTACTCTTGTTCAGGCTGATCTTAAACTCCTGATCTCAAGCGATCCTCCCGCTTCGGCCTCCCAGAGTGCTAGGATTACATGTGTGAGCCACTGTGCCAGGCCAAGCATCTAGTTTTTAAATGTACAAGAATTTATCTAAAATGTTTTCATCCTTAGTTTGCACACAGCTTAATTATAAGTGCCTTATTGCTTTCATAATAATAGGTGTATATCTCAAATATTTTGTTGGTTAAGTTCTGTGACTAGTTTGAAAACAAGTTTCCTTCTTAATAGTAGTATAAACATGGAGAAAAAAGGAATCATAAATTTGAAAATGAATGATGATTTCTGTTCCATTGAGCATGCTGTATTTTTATATGAAGGAACAGAAAACCTATGTGTATGTACATCCA